ACAAAATCATAATAAAATGAACTGAATACTCACCATCAGTTAAGCTGATAAGACTCAGCAGGCACAACAACATACTTCCTGCGATCCCCCCCATGTCTGAAAGTTAAAAAGAAAGATAAATCTAATAAGTAGAGCTGATAGAATCAGTTGATTCATTTATGAGTCAAACAACAGCAACTATTTTAATTAATAATCGATTAATTGCCAGTTATCGAGCAGTACTGCCATGTAAGTGGTTCCGTGAGACTGCAATGTGGTGCCTTGCTAACATTTAGCATGTATTGTAATGTATAATTTAACAGCAATCCATCTAACAGTTTTCATTTCTCTAAAAACTAAATGGTGGCGCCAGAGAAAAAGTCAGGGGATCACCAAAGTACATTGGATTCATCCTCTGACAACTTGAGCAAATGTTCAAGGAAATCAAGGTTCAAAGTTATTGAATCCATTCAAAAGTTGAATAAAATGCTGCTGGCATGACTAAAAATTATGATCAACTCGGGTCTCAACTCAAATAAGAGGCTTTATCTGATTTATATAATTGTGCATTGACTACTTTTGGTTTTAGACTTTTGGTTGGACAAAACAAGAAATGTTTTAGACTAAATGATTCATAAAAAGATAGAGACAATAATCAGTAACGCAAATAATTGCAAGTTGCACCCCTACTTATTAGACAAAAAAATATTATTTAAATTCTGAAAGTTTTTAAGATAATTCAGACATTTGATTCATTTATTTCATCTGTCACACTTATCTAGACAATTTGTGACGAAATTTATAGACGTTTATATTAATAACACAACATTTTATTGCTCCTGGTAAAACACCAACAATCATTTAATTTAATAGTTTTGCAGCTGGATAAAAACACAGTGAAGTTACTTGAACAGAAAACTGTTCTTGCCCTGATTTCTATAGGTTGACATTTAGAAGGTTATTGAAGAGGGCCGCACCCATTACAGTGCTAGGACATGTTAGATTGCAGAGAGAGCAGTGCCAGCTTTCTGCCCTGTGTGATTTCTTCTTTAATACTGATAAAGTTAGAGCAAAAAGAAGAGCAGAGTTAATTAGATGGAGACCTGTGTTGCGTGAAATATATGGTTATCCATTTTCCAATGTAAACAAGAACTTGTACAGTATTAAATTTACATTACATTGTCTTACATTCACCTGGGAATCGAAACTTAATTTCACTGGGTTGTTGAGTAATCTTCAAGAGGCCAATAACAAGTCGGACATTTTACAGTGTGCCCTTCAGGCTGATTTTACATTCACGATTCAGTTTGTAAATTTAAATGTTGCCTTTGTTTAAGTGACTATCCCCTTTTAGAATGTAAGAAAGGAGTATGTATGACTGGTTACGGCTATCTTCCAGTTTGTAAGGGTTTTGCCACTATAGTTCTACTGTCTACTCGATGTAAAGACAAAAGAAAGTTTAGAATCTGCACTTTTTGATGTTAGGAGCAATAATTAATTTATAATAAATATGAGCTTTAACGATTTTTACATGCTGTGACTTCAGAGGATTAATCACTTTGGTATCTCCATGCTTCTGAGAATTGTTTAAAGATTTAACTATCAAAAGAGGAGTCATACAGTACAGTACAAGATATTTTACCATGTTAAATTGAAGATAACGTCGGATATTGTCTATCTATTAAATGTTAGAACATTTAGGTAAACAGATATATTGAAAAAAGAATTGCATTTGTTCTTTTTATAATAGTCACCATTCTATATTTTAACTAAAAACATTACACTAACTTTATAAAAAGGCAAATCTAACTTAAAATGCAGCAATCAGACTTACCGAACAACATTCACCAAGGAGCTTCTCCTATACTGATGTCTAAATGAGACCTTTGGCTCCTTGTTCCTCCTAGTGATTATCGTCTTGTAGTCGTAAACATGAATGATTAACACGAAATGCACAGCCAATAACACAACAGCAAACTTCCTCTGTGTGTGTCCTTGTTAAAACAAACACCCCATAAGCATCTTACTGAAGGGAAATAAATCAACTTTGCCTCATTTTACTCATGGCTACATTGTGGCTGTTGATGTAGTAATGAGAGACAGGGACTAGGCAAACCCCCCCACCAGTAATACATGGCACGGTGCCATACCGGGTCACTAATGTCCATACCAGAAACCCAGGGGCATCTGAACTGCTCTTTTGTTTGAATGGGTGCTTGTGTCGTCATGGCAACAGCAGTAGCCTGTTTGCTTCCATTGAGAAAAACCCCGATGTGACCTGGGGGCCTTTCTAAAACTCATCAGAACCAATCAGTGGAGCAATGCCTTTTTACAGAAAGCAGAGATCCATGTACCTCCCTAATGAGCTCTTCCCAATAAGCCCTCCTAATTAAACAACATCACACAAAGGATTATCTTCTCTTGTCCTCCACTAAATCCGTTCATAATCAGACATTTGCTTCAAAACAAAAGCACGACCCCACAACTCTACTCTGCCAGGAAACATTTAAACCCCCCCCCATTTATGATCTTTAAAATAGGGTCTTTAGACTGGAGGTACACATGAAGACACATTTGAAAGCCCTAACATGTATAAAGCAAATGTTGCGTACGCTCCAAAACAACGACAACGTGGTTCTTTGGATTTTGAGCAGGTTTAATATTCACCATGTTCTTGGTTTAATGAAGTAGCATGCTAACAATGTGCTAATTAGGACTCAAAGTACAGCTGAGGCTGATGGGAATGTCATTAGTTGTGTGGTAGAGCATTATACTAAAGTGTTATCCTTGACAGCTCTCTTTAAATTTAAAAAATGTTAAAGAACTACTGAAAAATGTATTTAGATCTTTATAACAGGAGTTCCCAAACTTTTTGATGTCAGGGACCACCACAATATATGCCCAGTAGACCACAGACAGATTCAAGATTATAAAGTCTATAGTCAGTCACAATCACTAAAAACAGCCAACCATATCTATTTCCTTGTTGTTCCAACTTCCAAAACATGTGCTAAAAGTTAAAATATTTGATTCCTCTTTTTGCTGGGGGGGGCCTGTATAAGCTTAGCTTTGAGCTACATACTAACATTAGTATGCAAACATGGGTAACTAAGGGTAGAGTGTTTACATTGTTCACCATCTTAATGTGTTAGCATGCAAGCATTTGCTAATTAGCAGAGAACACAAAGAATGGCATTTAGTTTTAGCATGTATTCGGTCATGAAGTAAAGGTATCACCAAAATTGTTACAAGTCATCATTAGGGTGACATGAATACCTATTCCAAATTTCATGGCAGTCCATCAAATATTTGATATTTGAAATAACAACAAATGTCACCTCATGGCGGCGAGAAAAAGAAAGGAAAAAGTCAAACAATAACCAAAAATAATTAGGACTCATCCTCCGGGCATCATAAATGTTTGTACAAAATGCCATGTCAGTCCGAACCAATAGCTGCAGGATATTTCAAGTGGTGGACTGACTGACATTGCCATCCCTAGAGCCCTAGAGCATGGCTAAAACACAATTATGATGCTTATTTGTTAAACTGACATATAATGTGTGAAATGTCAATCAAAGTGGGTCATATTGGTTCTTTATTACCTCAGGGGGTGAAAACCATTCAGTTGGTTGAGGAGAACAAATCAGTGTGGGTATTAACGACGTCCCAGAAATCTTATCCTATTAGACTTTGGTTTATGACTAACAGCACTGAACACAACTCTGACACTCCAGCAATAAAAATATATAAATGGGAGGGAATCTGATGGAACTCTGCCAAAGTATTTTCCAGTAATTAGAAATAAAAATATATCTGATCCAGGGTCAATCAGGGTGTTGTCTTTCCACATAGACAAGATGATAAGTAAGTCACGATATGTAATGACGCACACTGGCTTGTGATGACCATAACAGAAGAATATGCAATAAATAAGATCTTGGGCCAATACATCAGGATGTTAAATGGTCTCATACAAGAGTCCTTTTCTCTTTGATTACCTCATTTTAGGATTAGGACGGAGTTGAGGTACATGAATTTGCTACTTACTACTTTTTACTTTTACTTTTTATCTTTACTCTTTCCTTCCAGTACACAGAGGCATTATCCTTGATTTCCTTGTGGAGAAATGGTACTTCAATTTCCTGTTTCTTTATATTTCTGGGACTGTTGACCCCACTACATTTATCTGTCAGCTATACTATACTACTATACTATATACTATACAGCAGATTAAGATTTCACATAGAAAACAACAAAACATGATGCATTATGAGTTCCCAATGAAGTAAGTCAAATAAGGCTTACTTGTAGTCAATAATATGGTGTGTATATAACATTCTGGAGGGGGCCATTCTGTGTAATGAGTCCTTTTACTTTTGATATTTTAAGTATAAGTTGGCAGTAGCTTCTGTTAGATGCTTTACCTTGAATAAAGATTTGAATGCAGTGCCTTTACTTATAACACAGTATTTTACACTGTATTACTTTTATAAAGGTTCTGGGTACTTTTTTTTTTACTTTTTTGTTTTGTTTTTGTATCTTTTCCACAAAATTCTGTGAACACAAGTGAACGCTTGTCACAGGCGACCCTCAACTCTCGAGTCAGACTGACACTTTTTTCGGTCCATTACGGTAAAAATGGCAGCACGGCGTGTGCTCTCTGCTCTGGAAATACGCAGAAATGGGGGTGTAACAGGGAACTGCAGAAACCCAAAACAACCGTGGGGCTGGATTTCCATGTCTAAAACCAAAAAGTGGCGATTACGGAAATAATCACGGGATTTGCAAAACCATAAACCCGCGCAGCACACAGCCTGAGCGCGGTGATAATACGAGGGTCTGATGTTTAGCACCTTTTTACGGCAGTGGTGAAACCCACGGAATGTTCCACACGGGAACAGCTGACCGTAGGATGCCGCACTTAGCCTAACGAGATGGGAACATTACGAGGAAAATATCAGTGATCAGATGTTTGCATATTAACAATCAGGTAACGACACTCCTCCTCTTGTTATTGCTTCGCCTCGGTTGAGTTTTGGAGATTTGCGGTGCGTGTTTTACGGGAGAGGGTTAGACGGGTTATTAGGGTTGTCATCCTGCTCAACCTCCAGCCCCTCCTTGTTTTGCTGCTACCGAAAGCGATGTTGTAATGTTTACATTTAGTCTATGTTGCATACCACTGCTGCTCTACTTAGTCAGCTTTTCATTAGGTGCACACTTGTGGGTGCATTCAGAAGCCTAGATCTGCCCCAATTCTTTGCAGGGAAGCATTCAAAACAGACAAAGACATTATTTATTAACTCCTACTTGACAAATTGGGCCCGATAGTTAGCTTGTCAGGCCTAATACAGCTTGATAGTCCACAAGCATCACATACAAGCTTTTGCCGCTGCATTCGCTGGCCTATAAAAACATAGCTGAGAAACGTCGTATAAAAGCTGATGAAGGATGTTTCTCACTTGGTCATGCAAGTGCAATATTACATAACTGGGTAGCTGGGTAGTCTACAGTAGGACACTGTGGCCTCCTGTGAGAGTCAAAACAGACTGTGTGCCACAGTGGAGTTACAGCCCTTAAGGCAGTGTCTTCTACAAAATAAACTCTTAATCTAATTAATTAAAATGCAAGTTTACTTTTGGTCAAAATTGATGACTTGACCACTTATGTTTTTGTTGCTTTTCAATGGAGACTAATTGCCACAAGAGTGATGTTTTAGTTGGGAAATTCCAAAACTTTTCAGGTCGGTTATGCTAAAATTGTTAAATACTGCATTCCTCACTTGGAAAGAGTTTGAGCTAAACCTACTCTTATTATTTTGTACTTACAGTGACTGTCAGATGTGGAATAAGTATCCGATCATTCATTTAGTAAAAGTAACACGAAATTACTACATCACTTGTTAAAGTGCTGCACTATTTGAGTTAAGTAAAAGTACAAAAGTATTAGCAACAAAATGCAATTAAAGTACTCATAATGCAAACTGTCCCCTGTCGGTATTACTGAATACTACTGGATCAAACCAATGCATTATTATGTACTTGTATAAGTTCAGGTGGAGCTATAACTTTAATTGCTTTATACACTGCTGAGTAGATTAACCTGTAACAATGCATGCTGTTGTATAAACCGATTTAGTCTGTAAAATATTCACTTGAAACACAACTAGCTGTTAATATAGTGGAGGAGAAAGTGCAATAGTATCTCAGAAATTATACTTTTAAGTTACTTTCCACCACTGCTGCCTGTTACTTCAAAAACGTATAGCGACTTTATGATATATGTGGCAAGAAACACCCGGAACAGGAGTATATTTCCGTCCCGTCACTAGACCTCCTATTAGCGTTAGGGATATTTAATTAAACAATGTTATTGTTTAATACCTCTTGTAGCTTATGATTGTTTACACGCTACAAATAACAACAGGAAACCGCTTGTTTAGATACATTGTAGCACAAGACTGTCTGGACGGCTGCTGTCTGTGTTTGCTGCACGCTGATTGGCCCGTCTGGGAAAAGGAGGCGTGGCCTCGTCACAACAATACATTTCAAGGAACATACACGCGCCAAGGAATGTTTTTTTTTCTACCGTTCATCGTTGGTGTAGCTAACGTCACCTTTTGCACACGTCTAACGGTATTTCCTGCTCAGGTAACCGCCGCCGTTAACGGTTAAGAGCCATTTTGCGGTTTGTGGAGAAAAAACACCACCTCCTCCTCCTCCCTCCTCCTCCTTCTTCTCCTTGTGCAGCAGTTTGGAAGCGTGTGTTAGCTGGCCAAGCTAACTAGCAGCTCCGTCCGACATTATCCAAGAACAACAACAACAACAACAACAAAAGGCAAGAAAATCTGTTAAGAGGAAACAGCAAGTCGGTTGATTGTCTTAGTTCCTGTCGGGTGATGGTAACTCTCGGTTAAGAGCCGGTTTACATGCAGGAATAACTTGATGGGACTCGACATTTCGGAGGCTGAAACACCTGCCGTCTCCCCTTCTCACCGAGCAAAGCAAACTAGCTGAGAAAAGTAAGCAGTGGGCTGTTGTTGGCCACCTCCCATGTTACCGTTGTTATTAACCTGTCCGCACAATGTTGCTCTCTGTTTTGTGGCGTTGTCTGCGCAGATGTTCCCCCCCTAACCTCCCTGTTAGCATTCAGGCTAAAATAGCAGCAGTTTATGAGCAGATGGTGAGTCCTTTGCTATGCTTGGACAAAGCGGTAGCCTAGCTTTTGCTAAAGTTAGCTGCTCTCCTTCAACAGAGAGAGAGAGGGAGAGAGAGAGAGAGAGAGAGAGAGAGAGAGGGGGGGAGGTCGATGTTTTAACCCTGGCAATGAGGAATTAATGTTTGCCGTTTTTGGTGGTGGTTGTGTGCAGGGCTTTGTATAGGTGTATAAGACACGGTGTGGCTGAACAGTGGGCTGTTAAATAGCATGTTAGCCAGCAGTCGCGCTTGCCTGCCACATCTTTTGTTGTTGCTTTGTCTTTTGAGCACATGGCTTTCCATGTTTTTGTTCAGGCAGACGACAGCGACCCCTATTTATTCTGTCCTCGTTTATACCGCATTAATTACACTGCTACTTAAACATATCTTTCACTGTATTGTGTGTTTGTTTTTTTACATTTTGGGTTAACGTAAAGTCTTTGTAACAATCAACAATTGGAAATATAACTGAGGAATGTGTATAACTGGACTGACTTTATTTTTCTAATTAGAAATTAATGAGTTTAGTTAGATGTGGCCTAGATGTTGATTGCTCTTATAAGGCAGCTTTAGCAGGAAGCATATGTTATTTGTCTTATAGTTAGTAATTATATTGTCTTGTAATGTATTTTATTGTTAATAAAGCAGTAACTGATCTGTCTGTAAAATACCCAGCAGTCAACATGTCCTCCTAACAAGAGAAAAAAGGCAGTGTGGAGTTATATATCCAGTATGTTGTATGTCTTGCAGATTTACTATATGTGAGTTAATCAGTCACTATGCAAAAATAGATTTGCCTGATGCATGTGCCTGAATACCTTGATTGTATTCTAGGCTGTTTACAATAAAAGATGCCTGAATAAGGTCAGTGGAATAAAGGATTTCCTGATCAAATACAGGAGACATAAGCTTCATATGTGCTCCACTAAAATATTAAGTCACATTTTCTCAAATTTTCATTTCTTACAGTACTAATTCTAAGGGATTTAAAGCACAGTTAACTTTAAAGTGGACTTGCTGTGAGATTGAACCTGAACAGCAAAGTAGAGTAAGAGAGTAGAGAGACCTTAAAAAATGACCAGCAATTTAAATTTCTTATTTCAACCCCTGTTTTATTAGTATATAATTATGTAATTCAGTTTTACAACATAATCTCTGACTGGGTGCAACATAGATCAGGAAATTTAATCAGTATGAATTTTTGGGTCTTAAAATGTGACATCTGGTGTATTCCTGTTGGAAGGCGTGAGTAAAACTTGCTACTTGTAGCTATTATCAGCTTCTGTGTCACCTAATGACTTCCCATCATGGCTAGACTATGTGCTCAGTTGTTATCGATAGAGGATATAAATGAGCTCTGTAGCGTAAGAGGCAAGGTTGTGAATTTATGTTTGTTTTTTTTATGCAGGGTTAAGACAATCAGAGGCAACATACAAGTGCCTCCACTGTACGGTTTCCTTTCCCAGAGTGTGACTCGTCTGCACGACGTCACCAATGCGACCATGGGAAATAGCAGTAAATAGGCTGCCACCAACAGCCCCCTTAAACCCAAGGAGGTTCCTTGGAGAGCCCTGTAACGCCCCAGTGCATCTCAGGAGAAGGTAAAATCCATCCAAAGCCATTTTTCTTTTGTAAGGTGCATTTTATTTATTTCGTTGTATTTTAAGTATTAGAATTAAGATTTGGATGCTTTCAACATCAACCAAATGTCAGCTTTGTGTGTGACTCATGGTGCCTTAGCTGCAGGCAAAAAAAAAAGGCAAATGCGCTTTTCTTTTTCCTGAATGTAAATTAAAACTAAAAATACTTGTTAGAACGGTAGATAGACAATATGTGTGTTAGTAATCATTACAACACAAAGTATCTTGCGTGCAAATGTGGCATATGTTGTTATTTACTATATTTAGACAGAATAATAGATAAGTTATTTAACACATGTTACAGTAACCCAGCGGTTACGGCTTCAGCTACCTTTTCATATTTGCTGAGACTGAATTATCCAGTCTGTTAACAGTTTGTTGAGTTTAAAGCACTGCCTCTACAATGATGTCGAGCATGTTATGTCACCAGGACCATTAGAAACTCCAGCTTCAGTATATTGTTACATGCAACATGTTTCCCGACCTCTATCAAGCCAAGCTACACAGTGACCCATTACTATTGCTATTTTTAAGCACCATAAGCCCACATGTCAACATACCCTAAACAAAAAGAAGTATGGCATGTTTGGAAAATAAATACTACTACAATGTAGTAGTAGTAGTATGCTAATAATTAGCGATGTTCCAATTACCTATTACCTTATTATGACAGTGTTGGATATACATACCTGTAATATAAATATCTTTTAAAATCTCAAAGGCAGATTTTTTCTATGTGGAAAAGTAGATGTGCACCCTCACTAAAGCAGTTGAAAGCTTGTTTTAATGAAATAGCCTGCCATATATTTACCGGATAAGAGTGTTTACAGCTGTATGTATGTATCTGTGGCATTCTTTTCTGCGTGATGTTACAGCCCACCAGTGAGACGCCAGTGGGGGAGACGAGACAGACCTGTACTGCACAGTTCTCTGGTCCAGGATGAGAACTTCCATCATCTCCTTTTCTCCCAACATCACCAACAGGTTCCTTTAGATGAGTCCAGACAATACAGCCACACCAGCACACCACCACGCATGCTTCACCCTGCTGCTCACCTGCCCCAGCAGAGCCCCATCATGGTGGATCTACATGACCAGGTAACATAACAAGAGCAACCTGATTGGTAAAGAAGTTTTATTATTTATTAAACAGGATTTGCTGTATTCCTCAGTAATGTGCAGGTTTAGTGTAACGGTGTTGTGTACTGGTATATAATGAGCTCTTTCTGGCAGACAGCCTTCTGTTTTAGCCAGATTGTGGAGTCACCCCATCTCTCCCTCCCTGCCCCATTTCTTTCCCCAAAAGATGCACCAGGGATCAGTTCCAATATCATACACTGTTACGACGGTGACGACCCACGGATTTCCCATCCACACCGGGCAGCCCCTTCCAGGGTGCAACGCTCAGCAGCTCCCAGCATGCTCGGTAATGTTCAGCGGACAGCTCTCTCTGCTCTGCTGCCTTCCTCCTCCTGTGAGTTTGAAAAGGAAGAGCCCAAATGTCAGTGGCATCCATGTAGCACACCATACCAGCCATGCAATCTGTCACTGTTCATGACTAACAAATAAGCTGCTGCTGTTACTGTGCAGGATTTGTGGTTGATGTTAGCACAAATATTAAAACAGTAATGCATCGTAAACTATGATTCTGTTGTACATCTAGTGTATTTGTGGACTTCAGAATAATAATAATCTGTGTGGTGTTGTGGCAGTACTGTCAGTGCTGTGATTTAATGTAATGCATTGCTTCTATTCACTACACGCTTACAACATGCTTTCATTATAACTGCCTTACTGCAAATATAAGGAGAAAATTTGCTTTGGTTAGGTGGAGGCTTCTTAAGTGTTGAGTTTCATTGTTGACAAAGTTAAAGAAAATTGACTTCATGTCTGTTCTTTTGTTTTTGTTTTCTCTCTGCAGCTCATACAGGCATGTACCATGCAGCATATGCCAGTGTCTTATCAAGCCTTTCCACCCCTGATATCCAGCGAACATTTTGTATTGCACCCAACCCCATCCGTACCCCCCCACCAGCCACCGCACCTTACTCCTTTGAGTCAGTTTGTCCCTTTACAGCCTCAGCATCCACGCATGGTGAGTGGTCCACGTCATTCTCCTGTTTATGAATGTACACACAGTACAGTGAATGAATGCAATCAGTAGTTTGTTCATTTGTGTCAGGTGTGTCTAACAACAACCTTTTTCTGCACATCTCCTCTCAGCCTCTACAGAGGGTAGAGAATGAAGTTGACCTAAGAGGGGACCAGCACCCATTAGGGACCTTCTCCTACCCTCCCTCTCATCACCCACCAGCGCTGCCTCCTTCTCTGCCCTTACAGTATCTTCCTCAAGAGCCGCTGCATCAGGAGCTTCCCTTTGGAGTGGTAAGATAACCTCTGAGACATTTTCGGACCTTTTCATTCCTACGGAAATTGACATTGCACTAATTGTCCATGTCACATTAATTTAATTAATTGTATAATTAAGAATTATTGTTAAATACTGCTGGAAGGTACTGAAAAAGTGTAATGAATAATTCTAAGCTAATGGTTTTCCTTCAAGCTTTCATACCATGGTCCGTATAATTGTAAAACGGGTACTAAATTGAATTCTATGTGGTATTAAAAAGGTCTTAAATGTAATTTTGAACTGTGCAGAAACCCTGAGCACAATTGAATTCTCATACTGCTGGCCACTGAGGCAGCTCCACTGCCTCAACAGCACTTTAGGCACATCTAACTTGCTCAAAGGCGGTACTTGGGGGACAAGGGTGCATATAACCATATAACACCATAGATAAAAAATACATAGACCCTTATGACAGAAGATTTGTTTTTGCTGTATAGCGTTGCAGTAATTAATAATAGCTTGAATGGATCATTGATGTTATTAGTTCCATTTGTGCCTCTCCTGCTATGACAGGTCAAAATACCTATTTAAAAATGTGTATGAAGGTAATTAACTTTGTAACAATGAAGAAACAAGTGTTCTGATTTATTCATAAAGACTTTTAGAGTTCAAGATGGATAAACCATTGACAGGAATATGAAGAAGCTATTTGTCAGTTTAGGCCAAACCATGGTTAAGTTCATGTTCTTGATTATATTACTTTAATAAAATTCCACTTAGCCTCTTATTGTTACTGGCTAACAATGCCCTCAAAAGTCAGAACAAAGTTAGAGATCCACTGTCTTAACCAGTGCTGGGCATGCTACTCGCTTTACTCATTAAAAAATAATTAGTTAATTAATAAATTAGTTTGCATAACCATGGCAGTAATTACTTCCATCATGCATTGCATTACCTGCAACAGCTCTAAAGCTGCCACACGTTGGATCTTCTGTATCTAAAAGTTGTAGAAATAACTAATATAATAGCTGACTTTGAAATGTAAACCCACACTAACTGCCTCCCCATGGAATTGTTTAACATTACTGTAAAACTGTCTTGCATGTGCTGATCTTCAGGGTTTTTTCCCTCACTTTCTTCACCAACATCCTTTTAACACAGTCTGACGTTTATTAAACTTGCTATCATTATAAAGTGAAAGAAGATGATTCACTTTATAGGCTGTCCGCGGGGTCTTAAAAAGTCTAAAATCCAATAATCTGAATTTTAGGCAATAAAATGTACTAAAAATGATGATGACAGGTCTTTTTGAGGTTAATGCTACTTGAATAAAGTAGCCTCTCTTTTAAATTTGAGGAAAAAACTATTGATCCCACTGTAACAACTACAACCAACATGGAACCAATACCGCTTTTCCTTCATGTCCTTTGTACTTCATAAAATAGGCCTTAAATTGCATGCATAACTGTCTTTAAAAGTAATAAATGTAACCTGTTGAAACCTTCAGAAATCCTGCTTTAATCACAGACTTCAGTTTTTACAGTTACTTGAATCTCTCTGTGTTTCTCCTCAGCCATATCCCCACATGCTGCCCCGGCGAGTGAGTGGACAGAGATACCGGCTGCAGCAACCTCTCCCCCCTCCTCCTCCCCCTCCATCATACTACCCAGGCTTCCTCCCTTACTTCCTGTGAGTACCTGCAGTAAAAGCATCCTGTTTATGATGTATATCAGTCTTAACCATGTGGTTATTTACTTAAATGTCAAATGCCAGATTATACTCACTTCTGCAGACAGAAAAGATGATTAAGTCTAGTTACCATTCAGTGTATTTCCAGAGCATGTGCTGCTTCCAATCAAAAGATAGTGTTAACTTTTGCTCAACAAGATATGTTTCTCTCTCCGCTCAGGTCAATGCTTCCTGTGCCTCCAACAGCAGTGGGCCCAGCCATCAGTCTAGATCTGGATGTGGATGACGTGGAGATGGAGAACTATGAGGTTAGTAGGGATGTCACGAGAACCGATGCTTCGGTACCAAGACGGTGCCAGGTACTAGTTTTTCTGCTGTACCGTAAGTACCGGGAATCAATTCTTCCTGACCTGACGGTGCACCTCCTGTACAGTCTGGTGACTGTCGCACTGCTCTGCAGAGAAACACAGAATCATTTACAACAAGCCCCGTCCACACTTGCCACACCTGCTGCTGTTAAATGTCTTTTACCAATGGTATCAAATTGGTGTTGAGAATCATGAAATTTCACTGGTATTGGAAAATGCTTAGAGGTTAGAGCGATGATTTTTTCACACATTGAATATAAATTATATACCAAATAGATGGAGAAGAACTGTCTCCAATTGTATGGTCATAAATGTTCAATCCATTGACATGATAAGATTCAAAAATACAATAGTATTTTTTCATGTTTCATATGTGGTCATAAATTCTAAAATATGTTATAGGTGTGACTAAAAATGTATAGTGGTGGCTGAGTGGAGCACGTGTCCATTTTATTGTATTTCACATTCCAAGTAATAAGTGTCTTGACAATGCCACCCCCCACTCACCCTCTCTGTCTCTCTCTCTCTGTAGGCATTACTGAATCTGGCAGAGAGGTTGGGTGAAGCGAAACCACGTGGACTCACTAAAGCAGATATAGAACAACTTCCGTCCTACAGATTCAACTCAGAGAATCATCTATCTGAACAAACGCTGTAAGCCTTACCCTTACCTTTTTAATAAACAAACCACATAAATTCATTCTATATAGATAAATCTATATTCTGGTAACTGTTTCCTTTCCTCCCCTCAGGTGTGTTGTGTGCTTTAGTGACTTTGAGTGTAGGCAGCTACTTCGGGTATTACCTTGTAACCACGAATTCCACGCAAAGTGTGTGGATAAATGGTTAAAGGTAAGGAACAATTGAACCTGACTTTCATAGTTTTCTCATTGTTTTGTATGAATATTTTCATACACGGTGCTTAATGTCTTTTTAACGCTTCGTGTTTCCGTTTGATTTTCAGACCAATCGCACTTGTCCTATCTGCCGAGCCGATGCCTCGGATGTACACCGGGAGGTGGAGTGAGAACTGTCTTTATCTCTGAGTGCTGAACTGGAAAGCTGCACACACCAGAGTCTGTCCCGAAACTGGGGACACCTGCCACCTAACCTGCGTCCTCCAGTAAATATAGCTTACCAACCCACTACTTCTGCCCCTTCCTAAATAATAAGCAATCCAGGATTGTTTCTGGAGCCTGTTGTACCTCTGCTGTGCTTCATTGTCCAAGTCTCATGAAACCCACTGCCTATCGCAGCCTATAGCCAGAGTTCTGGGATCGCCAGCCAGTTCTTTCTCTGCCCCCTCGTTGCAGATTCCAAAGATTTTCCCTACAATGCATTATTTGCTGCTTTTGTTTACAGGGTTTCATTTTTATTTAGTGGATTTGGTTGTGGTGTTCATGAATAGTGGGAGTCCTGCATTGGAAGAGGTGAGTCGGGATCCTGGAGGATGATAGGCTGGACACCTTGTGCAATTAGCAGAAAAATAATAGGAATACTTCAACATGGGTATCTGTGTTTGGAGGCGACGCCTGACCATCATAGATGCATGTTTGTGTAGGTGTTGGGCAAAGTGACTTGTTAATAATGTATGTTCTGCAATAATGTATTGATCATTTCAACAGTTTTACCCCTTATTTGTTTTAGATTTGCCAATGCTATTGTGAGTGTGACTTGCTGCGGTTAAATGCAGATTCTGTTAAGCCTGAGGTTATTGGACTGCAAGTGATGGGACATGCAACTGTGGGGTATCTTCTACCCTAGATTATTCACTCTGGAACACAGATCTGTACAAAAGCAGTCATGGATTAATGGACTGCGTCTTTTCGAGGTCATCTGGCATAACTGCACAAGTGCTACATCCACCCTCCACGTCAGCAATTGTTCCTCTGGCAAGTGTGTACGCGTGTGTGCATATTGTGTGTGTATGTTTGTCCTGTTCACAGAGCCAATGCATTGTGTAACCACTGGATACAGGGCAGCATGCTAGGATTTGCATGACCTGTTGATTCAGACTAGCAATATTTTAATCAAGCATTGCCACCAAAATTATCAAATTTTAAGAAAAAGAAGAGACAAAGAAGCCTACTAAAAGAACTGCTTGCTTATTCAGAGAGCGCCATGAGGGAAGACTAGCATGTGGTTCCACCCTGACTGCGTTTAAGGATGGGAGTCCTCGTCCGAAGGCTATGCTGACGCCATAGAGCTCTGGAGGCCTGTGCAGAAAGCAATATGTGCAGTGAGTGGCGAGTTTTAAATGAACTTTCTTCCCCTTTTAGGAAGACTTGGCTTTTTATTTCTTTGTTTGTGAGCCAAATCCAATATACAGATATAGCCTATACTGTTCAAGATTTCAGATCTGCCTTCTTATGACCTTGACAAGCACAAACCTATTACTAATCCTGAAAATACTTTGTCATTTCCACTTGTTTTAAAAGTATGCCGTTTTTAAAAAAAGGTTTATTTATTGGTTTTATCTTCTAGAGAAAATACATTGAAGGAAACAGTTGGAGCACTAACAATGTTTGTGTATGTGTTATATTCTGGTAACTTGGTCAGGTCATTGTCTTAGGCCATGGTAATGGTGTTGTAAAAGAGCAACTGTATGTATAGCTTCCGTGTGAATGCTTTTAGATAAACGTTTGAAGACAGAAGAATGTTGAAAATCCTTGTAGAAGTCACTGGTGACACTCCACGATGCGCCAGCTGTCTGTATCCTGCAGTGATCAGGACGGGGTTCAAATGACACAGAGCTGGAGTGTTCAGTAGTGTAGAAACACTGTTAGACTTCTAGTTCCCTGCTTGTGTTCACACAAAAAAAAGAAAAAAACAGGATACATTTGGGGTGGGAGGGAAAAGAGCATCAAATGGACTTTTGCTTTGGATTCACTCTTGTCTCTTAACTGCCCCAGTAAGCACTAACAGGCAGTTCTAACCTTTGCTTTTATGTGTAAAGGGATCTTGCCTTTTTCTTTACTTTTGTTTCTTAAGTGAATGTGAGTCTTTGATGTGTGTGCCACCTTCAAGAGAAAAAAAGAAGCCATTTAATGAGTTAAACCCACAGCTTTGAGAATTAACCTATGTGTACATATCTATTCGCTGGCATATATTGTAAGTTAAAAAAAAAATCACTCAGGGCCTCTCGGTATATAAAAATAAAGGAGAACAGTCCATTTCAAATGGAAAGGATTCCATGAAAAGGGTATATCTGAATTTAGTTTGGTCGTTTTCCTCAGACCATAAATAATTTAATGTAATCAATTATAATATTCTGTTTTGTCGGAAATAGTAGATATTACATAATTTAAAGACAGGCATGCAAGAAAAAAAGATCAGTAAATATGTTACTAGTATTCACTGAAAAGAGGCAATGTACACTGCAACTCATTACAAGTGTATTATTCAAACCTGTTTGACTTTTGTTCTTTTACTCGAACCATATGTTCAACATAGCGGTTGTGAACCCATTTCTAAATGTGCCGCGGTGCACACTATTCTACCTAATTCACTCCCAAATCTACTTCAGAGGTGTTTGCATGACTTAAAAAAAAAAAAAAAAAGTTAAACAAGTGTGTTATAGTGGAGGATATCTCAAAAATCTGGTGGGGACCTATTTAATGGTGCACAATATGCATGCTTGTCAACCAGATCCCAACTGATTTTTAGCTCTAGTTGGCTTTGGGTTCTGGGGGTTTGGATCTTAACGCTCAGCTGATAACTGCCATGCATTGTACTGCACACATTTGTAATAGAACTGAATGACTACAAGATTTTATTGCGCTAACTTCATTTTATAGGAAGAAAAAAAAAAAAAAAAAACAACTGGTCTTGATTCCAGAAATTCTTACATACATTGTGTTACTGTTATTGCCCTAACGACTGAAAATTACATGCTCTGAAACTACTGTAGTTTATCAAAAGCCATAGTGAAAAGGTGCTAGATGTTCTGCTTTTAGGTATGAAAACTCACTTGCGTGAATGCAATAGTTTGTCATGGAACCCATGTATTCTTAAAGCATGTTATACTAATACCCCTAAACAATGTCAGTGAAAATCAATATAGTTTAAGGGATTTAAAAAAAAGAATAAAGTGTTGTCATACTTATTTCAGTGTAGTACTGTACCTGCCTATCAGGCTCTTGCTCTCAGTGTATCAATATCTTAAAATGTATTGTTCACATATAGATACTTTTAATTCATGTTAATGTTAGCACTATTATTTTTTGAGTAAATATTTAATTGACAATATCCAGCTACCCTATTAAATAAAAAGAGAACCTCCCATTAAGGCCTAGGTAATGAGATAATTTTAATGACAACTGAGAATAGAGTCTTGTAGTCTTTCTGTTAAGAGTTATTGAATAATCTCACAGCTTGTGTGGTGCAAAAATGTGTTCCAATAAGCAGCTAAAATTTATTTAGGATTTGTGATTGATTGCTCCGTAGACGCCATTTATTGTTTACCAATGACTTTTGCTGTGGTGGGATAGTGGTTTACTGTTCTTACTCTCCCTGGCCTCTAGGGGTCCTTGCCTGAACACCAGACTACCCACCCGCCAACAGAGCCAGGGGCATGTGTTCTGTGTTAGGCAGATATTTTGCTTTGGTACTTGCACATTTACAGTTACCTCATTTTTTCCATGTTTGTATTGGGGTGGGGGGGGGGGGAGAAAACAACTAATATATATTATATATAGGAAATGGTTCTTATTAATGTTATAATTTTTCATTCCATTGGAATCATATTGTTTGTAGCATTTAACATAACTAGTTAGTGTATTATATATACATCTGTATACTGTTTGAAATTTTTAAGATTTGTACTTTTTTTAAATGAAAGTTGCTAGTTATGCTTTACCAAGTAGTGCAATCATATTTTTTTTTAATTGTTGTGGCTGATTTGAAAGGGTTGTTCACTAATAAATGTATGATGTATACCAATATCACACTCGTCTCACTTGACTACTAAAGGGTTAAAATGCTGCACATTCTCAAAACTACCCAAAATATCTTTATCAAAATTACACCGCTGCTTATGTGATGCACCGGTAACACAAGCAAGTGTCGTACATTGTCAATAAACCCACATTTTTAAAATGTTTTTAATTTATAGTTGGAAAATTACATCTTTACATGAGCCCATTTAGATGTTACAGGCAAAACAGGCATCTATGAGTAACCACAGGCACACTATGGGCAGACTCGAACTATACTAGATAAAGCCACATGTAAAAGCTGTGGCCTCTGTTAAATATTGGATTTTAAACTTCATGAGCTTGAGGCAGTCTGCTTGACATAGTAACCAACCTGCATTTGGTCATTTTATGACACAGATGAGTCAAAAAAACAAAAAAAAAGTAAGGTAAATTGGGGTTTTTTAAATATCTAACTTATGTACAGGAAATGGCTCATTTAAAACAGGGTTCCCATAATTCCTTAATGTCCAAATTCACCAACCTGCTCCCTGAAGTAATACAAATGCTCAATGCACCACATAGATAAACAATCACAGCAGTACCAACCACTCAGACCAGTTCTGTGCTCGCCAGTCAGCGTGGAGGAAGCATGTGTAAACTTTAGGGCAGAAAGGAAGTTGAATTGGGACACACAGATCAAACATTAAGTCGTTGACAAAACAAATATAGCCAAGGCAATCACATCATCATTGAACTCCATACTTCTCCATCATGCTGCATCCTGTGTAGGTATTAATACAACCTGCCTTCCACAGTTGCCCAGACATGAACTAAACTGGGATATGGTTCTGGCTTTGCACGAAGCTATGCTACGGTTTCAGTACATTTCAGTAGATGATTAATGCTTTGCTGTAACGCTTACTGGTGAGGAAGGACGATGATTAACTGGTAGCTAGTACAGACGATGGAAAACAAACTTCTTTTTCCACACGGATACAAAGATGAGTTCACGGAAGGACTTCAAGAAATATTTATTTGATAAAATTCAAGACTTTCCAGGCTATTGGGAACCCTGTAAACACAACCAAACAAGGACTGGATGCAGGGTGGTTAATTTTTTTCCAGGTTAGGATTTTATCTCAATGATCCCTTGTGCATAATGGCCATTTAACAAAAGAAGAAAAGAAAAAGGAGGAGTGGGTGGGCATTGGAGGAAAATGTGTTTCCATGTAGAGGAGGTATGTCATCTATTAATCGTCCGTAAGGTCCTGAACAAAAAGGACCTCGGAGCGGCTGAGTCCCGCCTCTTTCAGCGTCGGAGGGTTGGGCTGCTCTTCAGTTGGAAGGCAGGGCAAGACTCGGCGAGGGAAGTTTGTAACTATCTGAAACTTCTCTGGGGATTCTTTCAAAGAGAACAGGAAGTCGTATATTACCTGTGGAGATAAAATAAAACAAGTGTTAGTGCAGATATAGAGAAGAAACTCTTTATAATAATGCAGTATTTGAATGTGTTTTTAGAACAATGAGACCATTCAGATTACTTTATCCGCTCATATGTGGACCAAGTCCGTATCAGATCAACAAACAAACATATGATCCGGTTCAAAAGTTTGGAATCACCCGTTACATTTACGTTCCTTCCTCGAATACTTAACATAGATAAAAACAGTATAATTCACACACCAAATGTATTATTCACATTTGAAATAGTTTTGGCCCCAAAAAAACTGGCCTGTGATAACCCCAGACTAACCCTACATTTCTACTTTGAACAATAAACCTCTTGAATCTTGAAGTTTTGAGAACAGCTTTGCTAAAAAGGACAACGCCTGTTACAGGCATTATTGGGGCGCCTGACACTGAAACAGGAACCTGTTCCTTTTTAAATCTACACCGATTTTGAACCTAAGCTTCTACTTTCTTTTTACGAATGACTAGTGATTTCTAATATTTGTATTCAACTGTTGCTCAGAGGTATCTTTGTCTCTTTCTGCCCCATAAAATTGTCTGGTTGAACCTGTACAGCATTTTGTCCTCAAGTACAAAACAACATCTATTTGTAAATAGGACTCAACAACCTAAAAGCATAAAAGACCATTTATAATATAAAACAGTCCTCTCAGCCATCTGATTGAGATTCCAAACTTCTGGATGGCAGTGTAATTAGGGGCAGGAGCATGTGGAAGAGCCTCCAGATACTTGGCTGTAGATAGCACATGGTTTGACACTCGTGGATAAAAAGTAATTTGAAGATAAATCAACCCTGGTACTCACCGTCAGAGACTGCCCAAAGAGGAATCGTCTCTCTACTCGGGTATCATTGGGCAGCTTAAACACTATTTTGACACTTTCTGGATCATCTGCAGGTGGTTCTGGGGGAAGACATTCCGACTTCCTCTCCTTCTCCTCTTCCAGTGTCTGCAGTCAGACAACAAAAATTGACAACATGAATCAAAAATGAAATAATTTTGTGTATGTTAAGAGACCATTGTCTCTTTTAAATAGTTCTCCATGTGTACACTGGGATGTGCAAACCAATTTTAATGGAAAATAAGACTCACTCGTCGTCTCCGCTCCTCAGCAAGAGCTGTCTGTCGGACCTTCTCCTCCTCTTGCCTTATCTGCTCCTCCTCCTCCCTTTTCTTTCGGTCTTTCTCCTGGTCGGCACGGAGGGAGGCCAGATAGGCCTCATCCTGCTGCTGCCTTAGCACTTGGGTCTGGTTCCTCTCCTCCCTGAAACAAACATTTGCCTGAACTTATTAACTATGAAACTTTCTGGTATACTAGCTATAACTATACAAATAAAGAAACCCTGATTACTGAAGCCAGATTTTATTCACAACTTATTATGAGAAAAGTATCCAAGTGAAACATAAAAAGCAAGTCAGCAGCTTGAATTGAACCTCAGTGATGTTTTTAAAGTTTGTTTGAAATGTGTGTAAAATGTCACATCTTATGTGTTTTATGTTTTCTTATGTTTTGGACTTTAACTGTGAAACTAAAAATGAACTGAATTGCTTGATTATCATCATCAGCTGTCACACTTTGAGCTTTGAGCCTCATCTCAAAACCATCACCACCAACATGCAACTTCCAGTCTTCTTCCAGTGTAAATGGAGATGAGATCACGTCAAGCAATCTGGAGTGAATTTATTTACCGTTCCATGCGCTCTGACATCAGATGTGTTTGGTTGGCATCCATGATGAAGGTGAGCTGATTGATGAGATCTTCTGGCTGAATGAGACCCTCGAGCCGGCCCACCACTGTCATCTTGCGGTCCTTGAGCATTATCATGGCCAGGAATGGGTAGGTGTTCTCCCGCAATGCTTGGGACACTGAAACACGCCCAAACATTACACAGTCAAATCTCACTGTTTCAACAGTGCTGCTACTATACATTTTATTAATTAAATGGTCAACCCATCTAAAAAACCCATACACAAAACAAACTATCCTACTTGATAGTCTTATGTACCAAAGTTTTTATTTTTCTACTGAGACTTCAATTGCCACTCTAACACAGTAGAGGTGAATAAACTTTTTTTTTGTGGCAATCAAAGCATCAAAAAACTACATTTGAGAAACTCAACATGGCAATCCCAGTCACTATGGATAATCTGCAGGACTCGCTGTCTGTTTTAATGTTTTGATGATTTTTACAGGGCCGAATTAGACCAAATCAGGCAATGCGGCAAAAACATTCATTTGAATGGGGGTATTTAGAGTAGGCTGCAGTGGTGGGCAATGCAGGGGATGCCTAAAAAAACTGCAGCGACCTGCAGCAAAAGAGTTAATTGACACAAAGCCCTATTTGGTCTGAATACAGCCAAAGGGTGTTTGACAAAAGCTGAACTGAAATATATAAACACAATGAAGGACAAACAGCTCTTTACCTTCAGTCATTTAAGTCAAAGATAAGGAGGGGCACTTTATCCACTTTCAAATCCCCCAATATGAGTTCGTCTCATTTCCCTTTTTATACAGGAGATGAATATATGAAGTGTGTCTACATGTGTGATACTAACATATTTTTCATGATCAGAGCAACCCATGTTGGACACAATGCCTGCGTCTACATCGCATAGCCTCTTGCCCTATATTTCTGCGGCCATGTTAACAGGTTAGAGCAGCCATACTGCCCGCATGAGTCAGCTGCAGCAACGCTGCACTAAAGAGTTACAGGTCTTGCCTATTCTTTCTGCGAGCGGTTCCCTGCAAAAATAGACAGGGAAAAGAATCTGTTGTAGTCATATTGACATTATACCAGCAACATATACACCTTTCACTACAGTTTCAATGTTCTGTAGAATATGTCACCTCCTGTATCGGATTCATTTTAAAAGTGCTCTAGTGTTTCTGTGGGCAGAATCATTAATTTCTTCAGAAGGTTTTTATCACAGGCAAACTCAATGTAGAAAGATCTGGCTGGCAGCAGCACAGCGGTCTCTCTGTGTGGACATCACAGACGTGTGAGCCACAGTTCAGTGAGGTAGCTGTCATGCACTGTTCACGCAGGCAGTGTGTCCAAGCCATTACACGTCACATTAACAGCTGACTGACAACAAATGGTGGGTTAAATAACCAAAAATGTGCATACCTCTGTAGCCTTCAGGCTTGCTGGTTGAGCATGCCCAAAAGAGCATTCGTGTGTTGAGGAAGGTTACAACCTCTTCTGTGCATAACGTGGAGCTGGGTAGTGACAGATAAGAAGCACAAAACAAACCATTACACAGGTGAAACCCTTTTCATGTGCATGTGGATATAAAACACAAAGTTTGTATATAAATATACTATCATTAAACTAGAGCTTATGTGCCTTCATAACAAGTGAGCAACCAAAGCGCTCCATGTAGTTCGTTTGTTACACGACTGATAGTCAAGTGATGCAAGTAAGGTAAAAAGTACTATACCGGCAAAACTCGTCAGTGTCTTGATGATCCTCCCCGTGAAGGTACACTAATAAGTACCGGAGCTCCCGTTTGGCATCATTCAGTGCCTACATGTGTCAGGGAGAAAAAACTAAATTCAGCATATTGCAATTTTACCACCAACTGAAATAGTCTCAAGAGCATAAAAACGTAGGTTTCTAATTGGTCATTTGCAGTCCATAATCTCTGAACTCACCTGGCTGTATGTCCCCTGGTAAAATACAGGGTGCGACCGACCATACTTCTCCTCAAAACTATGAATGAAGGACACGACATCTCCAACAGGGTCTGTCACGCGACCACGGGGATCTGGCCGGATGAACCGCAGGGCAAACCTGGAAGAAAAAGACATTGTTGCAATCAATTACCTTCCTTCAGCTACAACTTTACAAGTGTACAAGTTGAAATCAATGTGCATGAATTACCTGAATATGTCCAGAAGTGTGTAATATGTAAATCTGAAAGGTAGCATTATCAAGTAGTAACTCCATCCTAGTAATCCCTGAAAAGAAAAAAACAATGCAGTCTATTACCATTTAAACAGTGGAATGAAATAATTAGAAGATGAGTACTTTTCTATTTTTGTGCCGTAAAAAAGAAGTTTCATCACTTATACTGAACATTCCTTCAAGAATTTGCTTAAGATTAACATACCTACATTATCTATTAAGTCAAACAGTGCCGAGTGACACCATTAACAACAGAAACAGATATCGATAAAGCATTTAAGTGTCAAGCGTCAGCACAAGTTTTACAGAGCATCTTAAGAGAAATCCAGTATCTCATTGTGAGCAGTGAAACTAAATATTGAACAGCAATGCAGAGATTTCATCCTGAAGAATGAACAGCACCTGCAGACGTACCCTGGGTTGTGGCCTTGAGACGATGTAACTATATACTCTATGGTCTGCTGTATTGACCTGCAATGGTCTGGATGGTGGAGGGTTAAACACACTGGGCACTCCTTCCTGCTCATTAAGTCTGTCTTGTACTGCAGCCTGAAACACATTTAAGCCCGTCACACTCTCAAAGTCAAACACTTCAACAAACCACAATAAGAAGAACGACAGATGAGTCAAAGCAAGCGAAATACAGTTCACAGAAGCTGTACAGGAATAAAAACGTAAACAGAGGCATGAACATCTGCCTTTTTTTCTGTCCTGTGTCTTTACCTCTATGTTCCAATTATGCTGCTCTAATGTACGACGACATTGGTCCATTGACTCCAAACCAGTAAGGTCCTGTTAAACAAGAAAGGAGAGTCAGACTGAAGGCCAGAAAACGCTCAGAAAAGCCAGAAAAGCGTGTGTGTACATAGTCACTGCTTACATGCTAATGGTGCACAAAACGAGGGCTTCATTTGCTGGGTTGTCAAACAGTACGAAATGAATAAAAGCAGCCGATTTAACAACCTTTGAGTTAGACAGCTATCTAAACTCCGATTTAATGTCAACATGCACAGAGGGGACCAAACAGGATGGCGTTAAAGCTTAGCTCTCTCTCTCTCTCTCTCTCCAACCTGCTAGTCTTAATAAAGCTAAAACAGACTACAGATTAAAGTGGGAGGAAAGCCGTGTCACAAGAAAAACAACAATTCAATTGAGCACAGCTAGAAACAGCTGTGTGGCTGAGGGGGAAACTCCAGTGACAGCTCGATCATACGCTAATGGTAACTCAGCGAGGGAGCGTCAGTGGAGAGCTATCGTTAGCCAACTTCACGATACCGAAAAGTCGAGAATTACACTAAAAAAAACGCCGCCCAAGTGATGTTGAAACACAGTGTAGTATCGGGTGTATGTCTCTGATTAAAATGTAACAAGCGATACGCTATTTTAAGCCCACCCGTGGCCCTTAAAGTCTGCGAACTTGGTAGCCAGGCTGAGCTAACGCTAGCTAGCTTCGCTAACGCTAGCGTCAGAAGGGGGGGGGGACGTTACCGGAGTTGACTCTGCAAAAAAAAAGCGTTTAAACGTGAATAATTCCGCCTTTTTACGGGGATTTTGTGTCAACAACGGCGTGTTGCTATGTGGCGTTTCAACCCGGGGGGCGTGTTAGTGTTGCGTTGTTGCTGTCTACCTGAAATTGAAGGAGTTTTTCGGTCTGCGCCTGAGATAATTCTGGCTCCTCTGGCGCCGCCATCTTACCTCGCCGATCATCAAGGCGTAACAACGTCAACTGTCTTTTCCTGATGCGGGCTGCGCGGTGACGCCGTCTGCGGGATACTGCCACCGTGCGGTCTGGATGTAAACCGCGTTTGTTATGTTAGAGTGAGTTTTATTTGCATGTGTTTAAAAATGTTTGATTTAAGAAGTTTAATGCATATTGGGCAGGTGGATTACGCCCTGTCTCTTTATTTCTTATTCTAGTTTATTATTAGCACCTTATTCAGCTCAGGTTGCTTTGTTTACTGTACACTGTTCTGCACTTTAAGTTATATATTTTATACTTTAACTTTATTCCACTCTTCTATTTGTGTTTTGTGTAAAGGGAGTCGGGCAAAGTAAGATTTTCCTTGTGCGTATAAACCACTGTTTCTTACCGTGTATATGACAATAAACCTTATTTTTACATTTTGATATCATTTATGTGGTTGAAATCTAGGATTACAGCGTTTAATTTCTTAAAATAAATGTTTCTCATATTATTTAATGTTTCACATGGTAGGAGGACGTGCTTCTACGCCTGCATGTATCATCCTTGATCAGTAACTGTAACTGTTTTTTAAGTGTAAAGACAACATTGATGCATGAACCTAGTCTGTATCAGGGGATTTTTCTATCATTGAGTAAACTGACGGCCCCTGACTGACATATTTTATGGATGTTTTTCATATGATATGCTTGACAATAACATTATATGTTATATTATTATTATTGGATAGTTTTCCCCAGGGGGTTAGGACCCCTAGATTAGAAACCAGTGTTATATTATAGTTAACTGTTGTTTGGACAAAACAACCAATTTGAATAACATCGTCATAGGTTTTTGTAAAAGACATTTTTCACTATTTTATGATATTTTATAGATCAAACAATTAACTGAAAATATAATCAGCAAATTATAATTAATAATGAAAATCAGTTTACATCAGCCCTACTTAGTAACCAAACTTAATTTGTAACAATTGTTACTTTCTTTTGTAAATGTCAGTTTTGTTCATATTTTTTCTCTCATATTTAATTGAAAATGTGTCCACATTATGAGTTACTACCAGCTAACAGTAACTCATCTTCAGATAACAGAATAACAAAGACAGTAACTTAACACCTAATTAACTGATATTCACATATTCCATCATTCAGTCTGTTCTATGTTCATCAATCACGGTGGATCGGCCACCAAACAGGACAGCAACAGACTACAGTGAACAGTCAGGACTGTAGAGAGGTCATCATTGGTGCCAACCTGCCCCTTCATTCAGGACCTTTACTAGTCCAGAGTCAGGAAACATCACTGCAGATCCATCTCACCCTGGACACAACCTGTTCCACCTCCTCCCCTCTGGTAGGCGCTACAGAGCACTGTACGCCAAAACAAAGAGACCGAGGCACAGTTTCTACCCACAAGCCATCACTCTGACCAACAGTTAACTGCCCAGTACAATAACCCTACAACTCTTAATTAAACCATTTATTACTTATTTTCCATTTATTTTTAAAAAAAAATAAATTATATTCAAATACATCTACCTATGCTGTGCAGATAGAAGATACCTGCATGTAAAATATTTATTTCAGCATCCTTTGCACTCTGTACCATTGCACTACTGCCTACAGTCTACAAATGCTTGTTTATAGCTATGTATAATTGCACATATAAGTCCATGTCTTTTTTTATTGAACTGTTTATTTACGCTGTTACGTCTGTTTGTACATTGAGAGCAACATAAAACCTGAGTCAAATTACTCTTACTTACTACTACACATACCTGGCCAATAAAAGTGATTCTGATTCAAAAGAATCTGGAAGTCTGGAAATTAGGGGAAACAGAGGTATCACCTCCTTTACTGAAAGTGTTTTGGAGTGAGGCCAACACGTCTTTCTCTGTCACTCTGTCATACACACAAAAGCAAACCTTACGCATTTTGTACTACTTCAATGAAAATGCATTTATTTAGTCCATTTGTGATTTGATTCCCACACACTTTATCAGAGAATCTGGTGAATTATGTGAATGTAAAAGTTAAGAATACTTCCCCTCAGGTTGAACTGTCAGTAAGGCAGTGTGCATTTAACCAAAAGGAGATAATCAGTTTTACAAGATAGCACACGGTGGGATTTGTCATTTCAAGCGTTGAGCCACGTCACTTTTTCCCCTCTACCATAATTATGTGGTACCCAAACTTTGTCTTGACAGGAGGGTCTGTGTACACAGGTTTATCCATGGAACTGATGGGTAGGGCGAAAGCTGCCTCCTGGAAAGGTCCGACCATCGAACCTCGCGTCATCCACCCCAGATCACCCTGTTATGAACACAACTGCCATTAAGAAAACATGCAGTATGCGGCTAATGTGGGCAGACAAGTGACTGAACATGAGCAACAAAGACAAACAGGGTTCAAAAGTTCACTGTATTTAAATTAGCAACTGAGATATTTTGACAACTTTGGTCAACGAGGTGGACAGTTATGGCTTCAGGCGAAATGACATCAAAGGTGTATGTAAGGTAAAAAGCTTTGTTGCACTGTCATGATTCCAACAAGCCAAGTATTTATGTGCTGTCCTTTATACAGTTCTCTCACACACACACACACACACACACACACACGCGCACACACGCGCACACACGCGCACACACGCACACACACACGAGCAGTTAGTGGTGTGGTGCCTTGCTCAAGGAAGTAAACTGGCACCTCTCCAGCTACCAGTCCACACTTTGTACTGTGGTGTTTATGCTGGACTTGAACTAACCACCCTGCGGTTACCAAGCCGAGTCCCTACGGCCTGAGCTACAGTCGTGAGTAGTTTCCTGTCAGTAGTTTCCCAGTAGCTGAGAACACACTAGTGTAGGTGTCTGGTGGGGTGTAGGTGTGAATAACGTATAGTGAGTTGGTGAAAGACAAACTCTTATTATATTATGTGGATCAGTAAAGGAACATCTTATCTTACATCAACCAAATTTCTGTAAGTAATGGGGGAGGAAAACATTATAATTCATCAGTCTGGAAAGCACCCCCCCCACAAAAACTCAATATAAGGCCTCAATGAGAGCACTGTTTTGTAGGATGATAAATAAAATGAACCTTGTACATCATATTCAACATTACACTACGACAGGCAAAATACAGAGGGCCGTCACAGTTAGTACAGTTAATATTATGGGATAATTTAAATCAATCAATAAAATAGCAAACACAATCAGTATCAACAGGGGATTTAAAAACTGAGCAATTAATTATGAGTGCATGCTCTTACTCCTTGTCTAGCTTTGTCTTCACTGTATTGTGATGCTACTTCACTGAAACGGACTCCAGCCTTCAGTTTCTCCATTGCCTCCATGCATTTTCCATGTTTTTCACAGAGGATATGTCGAACCTGGAGGGAAGAAAAACACAGATCGTGAAAGGCACAGTTAAACTTTCAGGGATTAACAATTGCTGGGATTCAACTTATGACTACTTAAAGTCACTGTAGACACTGTGCTTAGCAAATACAGATAAAGCATATAGGTAGTAGCTCATGTATGAAAGTTACGGTGCACATTCTCTGTGATACAAAGCTGATGTTGCTCAAGTAATAGCTTACAGATAATGATAATAATAACCTTTATCTACAGTAGTCTCGGTCATATCCACCTACCCCAGGTTCATAAAGATACCTGCACGGAAAATATTCATTTCACCATCCTTTGCACTCTGCATCATTGCACTATGTCTACTGTTTATAAATGTTTGTTTATAGATATGTATACCTGTATATAACTGCACATATAAGTCTATGTCTCTTTTATTGAACTTGTTCTGGTTATTTACGCTGTTAGTCTGCGTTTGTACATTGAGAGCAACGTAAACCGGAGTCAGATTCCTTGTATTTGCACACATACCTGGCCAATAAAAGTAATTCAGATTTATTTATAGAGCACCAAAGTGCTTCATACAAAGATCAAAAACACTACAACTAATAATCAGAATCAGAAATACTTTAATAATCTTTACTTTAATAAATTACTTTTGTTACATATACTCTCTATGTAATAGAAAAAAACAGAATAGGACATACAATATATTTGGAATATTAAGAATATTAATTAAGAATATATTAAGAATTAAGAATATAAAAAGGTTTAAAATGTACAGTTTAAAGTCACACTTTCAAATGTGCAAAACTGAGAGGGAGAGGGGGGGTCTGACTCTCAGAGGGAGGCGTTGAAATATTTCCTCAGAACAAACTGTGACAAAATTAATATTTATCTTCCCATCATTGCCAGTTTAAAATAATGTTTACCACATATCAGGAGACACCATCAACGAGAAAAAGGCCAACAATTTCTGAAGATATCTAGTGACAAAAATGTAAAATCTCTCTCTCTCTCTCTCTCTCTCTCTCTCTCTCTCTCTCTCTCTCTCTATATATATATATATATATATATATATATATATATATATATATATACACGGTCATGGAAATAAATTATTAGAGCCTTGTTTTCTTCAATTTCTTGTTCATTTTAATGCCTGGTACCACTAAAGGTATATTACCAGAAGAATGAAATGAACACGACATAAAATGCAGCTGATTCCATAATACTTTATGTCCTATTTGACATGCTTAAGCTTAATTGTATTCCCAGGATATATTTCATGTCATAAGCACATGCAAAGGCCTAGAGTGGTTTCCTGCTTACATTCAAGCCGTAGCACAACTCAGAAGTTGTCAGCTCTCACATAATGCCTAAAAAAAAGAATTATGTGAAGCCACAAAGGCAGCCATCTTCGCACTGCTGGAAATTGGCATGACTGAGAGACAGGTAGCCAAGATCTCCAAGACAGCCGTACATTACACCAAGAAAAAGCAAGCCGAACATGGTACTACCAAATTGCTAGCTGTTCGAGGCAGGAAACGTCTTTCTACCCCACGAGATGACCGTGCACTCATCCGTTCCTGTGTCAGGAATCATCGTCAGACCTCCAGGGACTTTAAAAATGAGTGGGCACTGTCGAGAAATGTAACTTGTTCAGCAAGGACAGTTCGAAACCAACTTCTTGAAGCTGGTCTGAAGTCACACAGGGCACAGAAGAAGCCCTTCATCAACAAAAGGTAGAGGAACGCCTGGTTACTCTTTGCTAGGGAACACAACGATTGGACTGTTGACGATTGGGCTAAGGTTCTCTTCAGTGATCAATCCAATTTTGAGTTGATGCCCACTCCAGTCAACTTACTGGTTAGGAGGAAGCCTGGAGAAGCCTACAGACCAGACTGTCTTGCCCCTACAGTAAAACATGGGGGTGGATCGGTGATGATCTGGGGTTGTTTGAGTATGGGTGGAACAGGGCAAATGCAACTGTGTGAAGGGCGAATGAACCAGGTCACGTTCAGGGCTACTCTTGAAAACAGTCTTCTTCCATCAGCTGATAAACTCTTTCCTGCCTCGAATGACTGGATTTTCCAACAAGACAATGCCCCTTCCCACACGACAAGGTCAGTTAAAGCCTGGATGGAGAACCAGAACATTTGAACCATGCCATGGCCTGCTCAATCACCAGATCTAAATCCAGTTGAACTTCATAAAACTCAAAATGGAGAACCACAAGCCCAAAAACAAAGCAAATTTGTTTGAATTTTTGCAACAGGAATGGGCTGCTGTGACAGCAGAACAATGTCAGAAGCTGGTGGAGAGCATGCCAAGATGCATGGCTGCAGTCATCAAAAACAATGGTTATGCAATCAAGTACTAACTCCTGTGTGTATCATATGACTAAAACAGAGAAAAGAAAACCTTGAATGCCTAAAAGCACCGTTTATGGCAGTACAATGCCACAGCTATTGATGTAAGAACTTAAGTGATTTTGGTTATTATCAAGAAAACCATGGAAAATAGCTAGATATCAGCTCTTAAATTAAACTCTTATGAGCTCTTTTTGTTGTTATCATTACATTTGTCCAAACAAATGTACCTTTAGTTGTACCAGGCATTAAAATGAACAAGAAACTGAAGAAACAAGGGTGGTCTCATAATTTTTTCCATGATATATATATATATATATACACACATATATATATATATATATATATATATATATATATATATATATAGTGCATAATATGGTGCCGGCTCAACCACACATTTCCTTCCAGCCAACTCATCCAAAAGTGGTTCTGTGGGAGGAGCAGTCACCTCTTGGTAAAATCCCCCTGTAATGTCGCATTTGACTTTTTGCATGCAGCTCTGGATAACAATGTAATTAACCTTACCTTCACAGCAGTTCCTCCCTTTGGTGCTTTTTCTTTCTTGTCTGCGTCTGCACTTCCTGAAGCAGCTCCTACACAGTATCGAGATTCAGCACCATGACAACACGTTCAACACAATATTAATGGAGAAAAAACAACAACCCCAACATACAACAACACTGCAGCGAGCAATGTGATAAAGTTAAACCTACATCACATTGAAGTGTTCACAGTTTTATGCTACAAGGCTAGTAAATGTGGCTAACTTAAGGCTAACAGTTCATACCACATTAACAACATTAGATAAAGGACCACCAACCTTTACCACCTTTGCCACCTTTGCCCTTTGGTGGCATTTCAGATTAATGTATAAAGAAAATCAAGCACTAATGAAGAGGATGAAACCTGCAGTAGCATGCGCTCATACTATGTTGTGATTAACATGCGCAGTAACCTGCGCAGACAGCTCCTTTTTCTTTTTCTTTAGCTTTGTTATTGGCAGATTGGACCCAGTTAATGTCCATAGCGCCACCCAGTGTATTGAACCAGAGGGTGCAGTCTCAAATGATGGTACAGAATATGCACTTTGATTTAAATATGTTACATTTTAAATATATTATCTTATGTCGATCTTTATCATATTATAAATAGGTAACTATATAAGGTATAATTTAACAGGGACAGTTATTTATTTAGCAGCAACATGCACCTTCAATTTAGATAAAAGGCTTTTTTGTTAGGCCTAGTCGTAGTAAAAAGAAAGTTACTGAAATGAGACATGGTCATGCAGAATGATAATAAAGCATATAGGTCAGGGGTTCCCTAACTTTTTCATGTCAAAGATCCCCCATAATAGATGAAGATTAGTCCACAGATCCCTAATTCAAGAGGATTTTGTCTTAAAGGAATCCCCTCTGTGTAATTTTGTATAATAAAGTCTTCATAGTCAATCAATGATCGAACCTGGGTCACTACAAGGTTTCAAATATGAGTCTTAATAGTCAAACAAAATAGGATGATTATAAATTAAAAGTAAAACGTCATCCTTTGTTGTTCCAGCTTCCAAAATATTAAAATATAACATTGCTCCTTTTGCTGGGGACCCCCTACAACACACTCAAGGACCCCTGTTGGTCCCCGGACCCCAGTTTGAAAACTATATTACGCTATAATTGCCAGCAAGTGAATTAAATATGCAATATGGGAGGTAATAAAAAGGGAAATATTAAGGTAAGTAGAAAAAAAAAACACTGTCTTTCTACTATACAGGATAAATGTACATATATATTATAAATTAAGCACAAACATACATAGCCTACACAAAAAAAAGTCCACAATGAAGCTTTGTATAAAAAGGGAGTTATAATAAGATAAAACACATATTTTTCTGTTCTTATGTGTAACTCTAGATAGTTTTAAGCATTACAGGTTCACCTGCTGACGGTATCCAATCCAATCTCACGGCGTCAGAAAGAAGGCGGTTACCACGGCAACGACGCTAAACACAAACGGACCGTGACGTCTATTGACGGTACGTTGTGTTGAAGTGCCTCCTTTACCACGACTCTGTTTCCACTCGTCCGCAGAAAAAAAAAAAAAAAACAAAGACCCCCCTCCCTCTTCTTTTTTTCCCCTTTCCTGTCGCCTCAAAACAAAATATGGAGAAGTACGAGCAGGTTTTGTGTCTGGGCAGGGGAGGAGCAGCAGACGTGTTCCTGATGAGGCATGTGGAGCGTAAGAGCCTGCACGCAGTGAAGAGGGTAAAAGTGGAGAACACAAGGGCAACAAAAACCCACAGGGCAATCCTCCAAGAGGCTGACATCATCAGGAAGCTGCAGCACCCTCACATAGTGAAGTGCAGCGACGCCTTTGTGAACTCTGATGATGGATTTATTTACATTGTGATGAACTACTGCGATGGTGGGACACTAGATGACAGAGTTAAAGAGAGGAAACCAGGTGAGCTCTTCTCAGAGGGCACCGTGATGGGGTGGTTTGCGCAGGTTGTCGTGGCTGTGAATTACATACACGCGGCTAAAATACTACACAGGGACATCAAAACCTCCAATGTACTGCTGACCAAGCAAGGCGTAGTGAAGTTAGGGGACTTTGGGATATCCAGAGTGATGACGAACACAGCCGATATGGCCTCCACGTGTGTTGGGACACCCAGTTACCTCAGTCCTGAGCTTTGCCAGGATGTCCCCTACAGCTCCAAGTCTGATATCTGGGCTCTCGGCTGCCTGCTGTACGAGCTCTGTGCTCTCAAACCTCCGTTTGCAGCCACAAACCTCCTGAGTTTGTTCTACAAGATCACCAAAGGAGAGTACGATCCTGTGGCCAACACCTACTCTGACAGCGTCTCGTCTTTGATCCAAACGATGCTCTGCCTCAACCCAGAAAACAGGCCAAGTGCTGCTTGTATACTTAGCAGTGCGTATGTGCAAGAACACCTAGAGTCTCTCAAACGCACAGAGGCTGACTGTGCTCCCGTGATTGAATCTAAAGACGAGAGCTGTGACATTAATATAGGAGGAAAACACACAGACAGTCAGTCCCACTCATGGGAAGAGAAAGACCTCAATATGGAGGCCAGTTCCAGTGATGTGGAGGAGGAAGGTTGTGATGCTTTGTGTGCTGGAGGAGAAATCCACTGCGACTGCCACTATCCTGAAGACTTTGATGAAGATGGAAGTTTGTCCTCTCTTGAGGATCACAGTGAACACTCGGGGCCCCCAATGAGGAGCGACTCTGCTGAGTCTGTTGGTAATGTTCCTGAAGTAGAAGTACTTAGGCCACTGAGGAAGACCTTCCTTCAAAATCCTACTCAAAGATCCAGTGTGTAACATTTAGGAGGATCTATTGGCAGATATAGAACAAAACAAAGTGTTTACAACTCTGCTATGTAGTGGTTTGAACACAAAAACTGATATTGTTTTTGAGATAATCAGAAGTCGAAGCAGTGTCCGTGGATATAAAAGGTCATTCTAAGGTCACAAAAACACTATATTCTATATTCAAATGTACATATCAATATTATATTCCATATCTGCCAATAGATCCTCCTAAATGTCACACACTGGAACTTTTTTAATACAAAAACAGCTTCTCAAAAGATGTGCTGCTTTTTCCTTACAATTATTTTAATAATTTGAATTCATTTTTTAATAATTCTGAGGTTTGGTTGGACAAATTTTACAAACCAAACAATCAGTTGAATCAATTAACAGAGAAAATAATTAGAAGATAAATATATAATGACAATAATCATTAGTTACAGTCGCAATACAAAATAGTTAAGCTTTGCCTCAAATCAGTAAAATGCTACTTAGACGTTAATGCATCACTAATAATAATCTAATGATATAACATAATAGTTACATACAATAGCTATAATTACACTTAAATGTTTAAGTAACACATTCAATGCACAAATTACCTTTACAACCTTTACGAAGGATCTTTATAATTCCTCCACCACTGCTTTTTTGTAAGAGGTCACCAGCCAAAAAGGTTCAATCGGGCGTTTTAAAAGGTTATCCTACGGTGATCCTAAGGTGATTGTAGTGCAGTAAAAAGCACAATATTGGTCTCGGAAATATAGAATTAAGTGGGAATATTCAAGTTCAACTACCCCAGAAATGTACTGGAGTACAGGACTTGCAACTGGCTGCGAGACTATGAAAAATTGTCTCAGAATTTAAATGTTGGACGCCTCAAAATATTTTACCTTGAGAGTAATTCTTGCTTTTTAACCAAATCTTAAAGGTCCAGTGTGTGACATTTAGGAGGATCTATTGAATTGGAAGTCAATATTCATAGGTATGTTTTTATTAGTGTATAATCACAGATCTACAGATGCCGCGGGTTGCCTTTCATGGAGTCTGCCATGTTAAAGAGTTAGTCGCAATCTGTGACTTCACAACTAGATGCCAGTAAATCCTACACACTGCTCCTTTTAAGGACTTGTTTAATATTGTTGCTCTGAACAATTTGAGATTTGAATTTTCCTACAAGCACCAAAACTGAACAGTTTGATGTTGTGGTCATGAAACTGTAAAGAAGTACTCAATCACTGAAAGTCTGAGATGTGTATGCCATTAAAACATTAGTGTAGATTACTGCAATTTGTCAAAAACATTTGAACAAAATTTTATTTTATTTATTGAGAGTTTAAGTCATTTATAAAGCAGAGATGATCAACGTTCACTGATTTCAGCTTCTCAAATGTGAGGATTTAGTGTTTTTTCCTCTTTATATGACTGTAAATCAAATATCTGCCTATCTTTTTGGACTGACAAACAAGCTGTTTGAAGAGAGCCCCTCTGGTGCGGGCCTATTGTAGATGAAGTTCTTTCCATCAAATTATGTTCAGTTCAATCATTCAGAGAGACACTGAGCTATAAGCCATCGCCACCAATGGGACATATTATACACAGGCCACATGTGTTGTCAGTAGCTTCTTTTATTAACTTGTGGTTTGCCTTTCGATGAGCTTTTGGTCAATTTTCAATATGAGCTTCTTAAGTTGCTTCATGATGGATATATACAAGCAAAATCAAAACAAATTGCTCAGCACATTATTTGTCTCTTACAGTATTCCCAGAGGCTTCTGATGTCTCAGAACAAGTTGAGTATCCGGATGACTTTGAGGAAGCCGAGGTGGAAGAAGAATACGAGGGTGACACAGGCGCTTCTCAGCAGCCATATGATGACGCACTGGAGGAGGAATTTCAGCTCTGTGATGCTGGAGGATTGACGATCACTGTGAAAGCATTGAAGGAAAAGGGCTAAAAAAAAAACCACCCTTAAGAACCTTATATTGCAATAGATGTGAAATAGAGGGGCCGTAGAAGCTTGAACATTAAAATATATTTCAAGTGTCTTGTTTGTTAAGTGTTTTATGTAATTGCTAAAGCTGGACGTATTACAGTACATTTACTACACACCAAAATACATAATAGAGCTTTGTTTTACTGCGAGATAATGTCACAATATTTGAAATGAATCAGGAAAATTATCTCAAAATGAGATAAAAGCATAAATGTGCATTCATCCATACCTTCAACGGAAGTGTGTGGTCAATGAAGTTCGCCACAAAGATGATAACACCTAATAAGTTACACAAAACCATAGTAGGAAACGTATTTAGAAACTGAAACACAAATACTAATTGCACTTACTAAGAACATCTATTCATTGTAGTAGTACAACAGGTTTGGCTCAAATAAATGGTGCAGTAAGAAGGAGGTTAGATATGGATTGAGCTGCCTAAATCCCCTAAGAGGAGGTTTATTTACAGCTACTTTAAAAAGGACTGTAGCCCAACAATAAGGACAGATTGTTCATATCTAGAAGTGCTAACTAAAGGTAAGACTTCTTTAAGCAGTCTAGTTGAGATTGAGTCTATGAGACAGGTTGTTGGCTTAGATCAGGGGTGCCAAGACTGACATTTAAATGTGGGCCACAGACT